AACAGCAAATCTCTCTCATTAACATTAAAACCATTTAATTTTGGACATTTACATCATAACCATCCACACATTGTAAGATGTTTGGTTTGTTGTATGAGACGATGACGCATAATTTTTCGGGTCAATTACCTTGATGGAATCTGACATTGCGTTTCAGTTTGATACCTCAACTTTCAATTGTTACAATTTTATCACCAAACTCAAAATTTTATTTCTCATTTCTACTTAAATATACATCAATTAGCCAAATTAACGACACTTCCTACACTAGAAATGTAATTGATAAGTGAAGTTTCTACACGTATTCGATGACTTAAATGATGATATTTTACATTTTTTGAATCAAATACTACATAACTTGTGTTATATTATATTTTGTACGTAAAACTTGATATTTGATAAAGAATTGGAGAAGGGAATGCGAAAATAGTAAAGATCAAAGATGCCAAGGATTTAATTAGATACAATTGGAAGATAAAGGAACAAGATTACAAGAGAAATGGGATAAAATGAAGCAAATCCAAAATTTGAGAATTAAAGTGTAAATATTCAAAAGTTGTGTCGGACCTCAAGATGAATATTTCAGAGTGTTAGGGGCCAATTGGATGAGGAAATAAGTCAAATAGCTGAAGTATCAAAATATTATCACACATCAACTTTCAGGCGAAAAAGTTATGCTCCAAATTTTCAGTTCTACATTACAACCCCTTTTGGCATAGAAAATGTTCGAATTGGAGAAGTGGTATTTCTAGATTAATTGTACATCTTTGAGTTAACTTTTCAACGTATCTTGAATCACATAATCGGATATCTATAGAAAGTTATGATAGAAATACTAAAAAATGTTTGGGACAAGCCTATGCGCACGCCTAGGCCTTTAGAGAAGGCTCACCTTGTCTCCTCTTCTGAGACACATGAGGCTTCCTAAAGAGTTCAGGTGTGCGGCCTCGTTCGTGCTAAGTGCGAGTCTCAGTGTAAAAAATGGGAAAATTCCATTTTTGTGTTTGTAATCATTCAATGCAATTTTTTTGGTATCCTTTAAATAACATAATCCGTCCAGAATGTGGGGATACATCCTTAGACCTAAAACTCATATTTTCTACGTATTTTGGAGGTAAAGAACGAGGTCAATTCATCAATCAAAGGCGGATTTTCACAAAATTATTGAAGATTTCTCCTCCCTTTTTAAGATTTCAATCCTCTCTTTTCTTGATTTGGGTGATTTGTCTTCCATATTTTCTAGTATAATTCAATATTTAGAATGATTAGCTAAGCTTTTTCTATTGTATTAGATGATTGAGGACAACTTAAGACTTTAATTTATGTATTTTCTTGTTATTTCTTGATTGATTTTCCATTTTCATTGCACTATTTAATTGTTTACCTATCAATTGTGTAGTTAGTTACTTGTTGTAGTGTAAAAATACTCATAATAAATTTAGAACGCGGTAAAATCAACATACGGGTAATAAGTATTAAGAATAATATCTATGACATCTGCAATCATGTAGTTAGCTTAAAATAAATGCAAGATTTTCATATAAATTCGGACTAAAAATAAGATCAAATCACGTTAAACATAAATTGGTGTATCTTGGAAAAGAGCATTTAACATATTAGTATTATCGATTGTCAAAAATGAATGAAATTAACTAGATTATTAATTGATAATTGAAATACATGGAAATATGGAGAATTATGAATCCAATACAAGCATTCATAATCGATAAAATCACAATTTATTTACTATAAACAACCACAAAATTACTCTTTTGTTGTCACTACTAATAGATCCAAAACAATCATCCAGCCTAATTTTAGTCATATTGTAACCCTATTTTCCAATTAATAAAAGCTAAAAAAGAGGTGATTTTTTAAATAATTGTTATCACTGCGTAAGATTTTTTTTAGAGTGATGATTCCCGTTGTTGACTTGAGCATCAAAGCAGTTCACAACTTATTTTTGCAGATCTTTTGAGAGTTTTTTAACGAACTATACACAATTAAAAATATATATATTTAAACGTAACTCTTGATAATTTGATCAATGGTCGGACGCAGAGCCTTGAAGATATAATTGTAAGATGCTTCCGTTGGGTGTATTGCATCGAAAAACACGTACTTAGAGGTATCAAAGCAAACGGGTGACGTTGGATTGCATAAAACTGAAGCTTCTACGTATCCACTCCCACAGCAACCAGTGTAAACCTTGTCAAAACCTACAAATGTCACATGTTATGAATTCTTATGTTGTTCAATAAAATAAGAATAAAAGTTGAAAAAATTGCAGTAAAACCATATTTGGAGGTGTAAAGAAGGGTAATGAGCTTACCGAATTTGGAGGGGTTTTTGGTAATTTCATCCAATGGTTTATATATGTCAGCATAAACAATTTTGGTACCATAGGCATAGCTTTCCATGGCCTTCAATTTTGTACGCAGCTGCTGGTTGTAATCAACTGCAATGGAGGATAATGATTCAATGCATCCACGACTATGGAATGCATTGCTGGGAGTGAGGGTAATTACAATCGGCAAGCACCCCATTGGTGGTAGTCCCACCAAAGCTATCGTTCGAGCTCCTTGCTCCAATAAACCCTATGTACAATGTATATCAATGACACTT